TGGGTTCGCCTGAAGGTAAAAAGAAAAAAGGACAAAAAAAAAAAAAAGCTGGAGGAAGTGGAGTGACGTGGAGGGTGACGTGGAGTCTACATAAACATATTTTACGCGTTGGTATACCACATCAGCTGTTTTCCGTTAGTTAACATGCCATGTAAGCCAAAATTTAAACGGAGGGACCAAAAAGGGGCCGGATTTGTAAACAGTAAGGATCAAAAAGGGGATTTTTTCGGTATAGGGATTAAAAAGAGACTTTTTCCTATAGTAGAGGGACCAAAAAGAGTATTTAACCGTCAAAAAATAATGAAAATTACCCTTACAATATAGAATATATTTTTTTAATTTAACTTTCATTGCTATACTTAACATTTCTTTTCTTTTATTAGGAAAACAATTTGGATTGTTGAAAACTATCAATTATGGAGAATTTGAAGAAATGAGCTTGAAGCAAATACTTTTGAAAACTTATTTAATTTTTTTGTGCATTATGATTTTATTCATTTGTATTTTAATTTTCATAAGGATGCTCATGAAACATGTTTGAATTTTTTTTTTAACTTATTCGAACTTTTACAATTAAATTATTTAACAGTTATTTCAAAATTTGCAAGTTTGAATTTATAATAATACATTAATTTAAAATTTTTTTTAAATAATGTGTAAAAAATTACTGGACTTTCCTTTAAAATGGGTAAGGTGTTTCTCCAAAAATCCTCTAGTGGTCTCGCACGTATGAAATCTGGATTTGAGCATGCCACTTACTTTGCTGAAAGTAAAAAAGAAGGATTTTTTCAATGACCCTCTCCTTCCTCACGATCAACCTCCTTGTGGATGGCGAAAAGAATGTTGGATTAAAATTGAAATCTGCACCTTCAGACGATTTGCAAAAGGGAGGGATGTCTTCTTGCAGAAGAGGTTATGAAATCTACCTTAAACAACTCCAAGGAATTAAATACTACCATGAATTAAAATTATCAAATCCTAACTAAACTAAAAAGCATGCAATTTAAAATAATTTTACGAGAATGAGATGTATCCAAATTAAACTAAATATGTTCATTGTTAAATTAAAATGATATCTACTCACAAATCTGAAAATTAAACTACTGTAGAATTGGAGATTTAACCCTTATTAAAACTAAAAAAAACATGAACAATGATTAAAGTAACATGCTTGAAATTGAGAAGAAGCATGACCGTCATATAAGTAAACATTTGATAAAATGCTATTTATCATAAATATTAAATTATTACAGTAAAAAAATGAACAGTACCTCAAAGAAATTTAAGAACTTGAAGTTCATTACATGAAATGAAATTACTGAAGCAAGTACTCGAACTGGTTTATCTACTGGAATGATGAAAACCAACCTAGATCTATTG